TTCATCGTTGTTTGTTTTTTAACATGGATTGCTAATGACACCGTCCTAGACAGGTCAGTGGACTGCCTGTAGAGCTGAACTTCATTTTCTTTGCCCGGCCTTTTGGATGGTCCAGACGTGCTGGGAGCATCGGGAAGCAGAGCATGTGATCCCGAAACAGGCTTAAACTGTAACATGCATCCAGATCTGCTAAGCAACAGCATTGACACGTTTAAATAAATCTGCTGTTGAGTAATATAGAGTGACATATTGAGAGCAATTAAAAAAAAAAAAAAATGAAACGGCCCAAATTTGGGAAATGACTGGAATGGAAACAGAGCGGAGATGTTACAGAGGACTTCAGATAAAGGAGAGGGAGGGCCAGTCCACAAAAGCAGTGTGCTGGAGAAGCAGGATATCCATCACGAAGGATGAGACAATAGCGGAGGAGCAGATTTATGCTGGAATTGTCTCTTGGCAGTAGGAGCCTTGTCGTTGTACTTCTCTGCCAGCGCTGGTGGTCGCAGGGATTGAAGAGATTTTCCTGCCTGCTTCAGAGAGGAGCAAGTGGTGGGATGTTGCCCCTCTTAGAGCAGGTAAGGTGGCAGTTCCCCTTCCTGGTTTTTTGTTTTTAACAGCTCAGACTTCATACAAATGAGATTGTGCATGATGGATTGCTCCAAAAACGTGTTATTGGTGAGAGGCTTTGTTCTTCGAGGGCTCACACAACTTCTATTTTGCAGTGATTAGGGAAAAATGGTTGTGACTAGGCTGTTCTGTGATTCAGATCTGAGTATTTTGCACCAAAGCAGCTGGAAATGGGCACTCAGGAGTAAGGGGATGAAGTGGGTAGATCAGTTTGGTCTACTATAGTTTGTCTGTAGTAGACCTGTAGTAGTACTACAGTTTGGTCTATAGTTTGACCTGTAATAGTCCTATAGTTGGGTCTACTACAGCCATCCTTGAGCTTTTTTGCTATTTTTATGGGATTTTCTACAGTGGTCAACGTGAGTTGTGAATTTTGTGGCTGTCTGAATGGCTTCGTTCCAAGCTGATGCCCCATTTCTGTCTGCATGGCATGGCCACGGTGAAGTTGGGGTCTGTGTTGCTGAGCCCTTCAAAGTGTTTGCTCACAGGCAGCTTTCCCAGGCGCCGGGAACGTCTCCTTTTCTTGGCTGGTTATCAGGTATTTGCTGTGGACACGAGCAGCTTTTGGCCAGTGGATGACAATAGTTAACTTGCACGCTAGCCAACATATTAAGCTGTGAAGCATTAAAGGGAGGAAACCGTGCCGTCCTTTGCTATATTTTTGAGATCAATTGCCATTTGTGGCTCCCAGGGAGGGAATATTGAGGCTGCACAGCGTGAGAGATGCTGGCCCTGCTCTCCTATCCAGAATGATTGATGGAAATGGCCAGAAGAGACATTCATCCTTGTGTATTAGGACCTCTCAGCAGCTATTCTACAAGTGGTTCCTGAAGGTGGCGTGAGTTACAAGTGGCCTAATCTTTGGGATGATGGCTGGGAGGCAGCATCTCATCTTGGAAACAATTGCTTCCCCTACAAGAGCTTGGCTGGCAGCGTCCCACTGCCCATTTCGGGGATGCTCTGAGGACACTTGGCCCTATTTACCCAGCAAAAGCAGCTGCTGCGCGTTGCAGATCGCTGCCTGGAGTATTTTTAAGCCTGGGGCGTCCCAGCCAAAGCAAGTTCAGGCTTCCCAGATGTACCCTCGCTGGTGGCATTTGGATTCGCTTCACCTTCTGCTGTGGCTGGGATTATTTAGGCAAATCCATGGCTGGGATTATTTGGGCAATCCCCAAAGTGCAGGGCTATCAGCCACGATGTCCTTGCCACATTTTTGAACACATAACTTGAACCCATCAGCTGTTTTCACTCAGAATGAGAGGGATACAGCTCACCAAGGCATTAACTCCGTGCAAATGCCCTGGAAATAGAAATGAGGCTCTTTACCGGGTTTTGGAGAACCCCATGAAAGCCTGAAGACATCAGACAGTGAATATTGGGGCTTCATTTGTGCTGGTGTTCCCAGCAGTGCTTTTTGGGGGTACACTGAGAGAGCAGATGGTATTTTTTGCCTTTTATCAGGGTTTGATAAAAGTGCCAGACTAAACGAATCACCAGTCCAGCTGTTTCTCCAGCTAGCTAACGGGACACTGTTAGGTCTGGGAGAGCAGTTGGGAAGTGCCTTCGGACCAGGCTCTGTTCTTGATGGGTTTGGGGTTTCAAAGGGAGAGGATTTTAAAAATATATAAAAAATATATAAAAAATAAAACATCTCACCCAAGGAGTTAGGCTTTGATGCCTTGGCCTGCAAGGCAGCGTTGAAGCTGAAAGCTCTCTTAGTGGGTTTCAACTTACCCAGCCTAAATCCTTCCCTTAGGATTGCTCCTGTTGGAAGCCCAGGATAAAGTTTTCCCCTTTATTTCTCCCTTTTGCATTTCTTTGTGGTGCGAGCAGGCGCGACAGCAGCCAAGCACCTCAGAGGCTGAAGCTTTTGCCACGGTGAGGAGGTGGAGGTGTGGGATGGGGAAGGCAGGAGAGCCCCAAATGGGGAAGGTGGGATGCAGGCAGCAGAGGAAAGGTGGCAAAGAAAAGTGATCTCGGCAGCTGCATTTTGTGCGGCTACTCCTGCATCCTGCAGCTGTTCATTAGAAATTCTGTTTATGCCACAGGGAGTTTTGGAGGCTCTGAAGCTGACACAGTTTTAATAGACAAAGACATTTTGAGTGCAGCACATCTGCTCTGGGATGCTGAGGAGCAGCCTCCATGCTGCAGAGCCATTGGGGGAAGCGTTTCATTATGCCTCTTTTATTTTAAGCTCTCCTCTCTTTCATCCTAAAAAGTAATTTTTGAGGTCAAAAGAAGTGCTGCGTCTGCTCCCGAAGTTTGCAGCCGTTAACCAGCCCTGTCTTACTGCTCCTAATATCCCGAGTTCCTAATAACTGCTCCTAATAACCCGAGTTCCCAGCCCTGAGATTTGCAGCATTGCCTTTTATTTGAAGGATCCCAAAGCATCCACAGAGGTGGCCGACTGGAAGAGTCCAAATAACAAGGAAAAACATGCAAGCTGCGTTGCTGTTTTATAAAACCAGGGAGTTTTGCTATTAGGGGTTCTGTTTTTTGTCCCCAAACCCCAAAACCTGTAAGTTTCAGCTATTAAGAAATGCCCACAGGGAGATGGCCTTTCTGGAGGACGCTGCTCCAGATCTCAGCCTTCCTTTGGTCGCCTGATCCCTGCTACAGATCTGTAGTTATTAAAAACGTGGCGAGTTGGTTATATTTAATTTAACAATTTATTTCTAGGCAGCCTCCATCTCACCCTGAGCTTAACTTTCACGACCTGTGCCTTACCGAACCCCATCTAATCTTGTTCCGTGATTGAGTCTCGCTTGTGCAGGTGAAAAGTTAATTCCTTCCTTCGCCTCCAGCCACGGCCAAGCTCCTTCGATCCTCCTTCCCCCAACATCCCTCTTAAGCCTTCATTAAGCAGAACAACGTGAGTTTGCCCTTCACAACCTGTTATTGCTGCCGACGTACCCGGTGTTCTCCACGTGCCTTTTTGCCGACCCCATAGGACAGCAATCCCTGTGCTGAGCCCACAGCAGCGTTTGGGGGCTCCCATCCTGCCTCTTTCGGGAACGGGGCGCCCTCAGTCTTCTGGATTTTGGGGCTGCTTGGGTTTCTTTATGGTGCCTCGCAAGCGAACCTGGGCACCTCTGACAACGCAGCACCCAGCGTGTGTGAAATCAGCCGGCATTTCAAATCCACGCCACAGCCTTGCTTTGTCGAAATTGAATTATCGTGCAGTCTGCTGGTGCTTATCTTCTATCAGACACCCTTCTGCTGGTTAATAACTTCATTACGCGCACCCACAAGCTGCCGGCACCGCGGTTTGGTTTCCCTGTTTGTTTTTAACTGCCGGGGTTGGCCACTTCCACATCCACACATCCCAACCTCTGCCGTGCAAGCGTCTTGCACAGATTTCCATAAGGGTCTGGTCCGGGGCTGGCCTCTCCCAGCTTGAGTCACCCTATCAGGTTCTGGCAGTAATTATCAGTAATTAGCTTCTCTCTCTTCTCTCTCTCTCTTCCTTCCTTCCTTCCTTCCTTCCTTTCTCTCTCTCTTTCTTTCTCTTTCTTTCTCTTTTTTTTCTCTTTCTTCTTTCTTCTTTCTTTCTTTCTCTTCTTTCTTTTCTTTCTTTCTTTCTTTCTTTCTTTTCTTTCTTCTTTCTTTCTTTCTTTCTTTCTTTCTTTCTTCTTCTTTTTCTCTCTCTTTCTCTCTCTTTCTCTCTCTTTCTTTCTCTCTTTCCCTTCCTTCCTTTCTTCCTTCCTTCCTTCCTTCCTTCCTTCCTTCCTTCCTTCCTTCCTTCCTTCCTTCCTTCCTTCCTTCCTTCCTTCCTTCCTTCCTTCCCTTCTTTCACTTCTTTCACTTCTTTCCTTTTCTCCTTTCTTCTTTCCTTCCTTCCTTCCTTGTTTCATTCTTTCCTTCTTTTTCTTTCTTTCCTTCCTACCTTCCTTCCTGACCTGAGTATCTGGTCTCAAGAAAGGGGCTTTTCCCCTCGGGACCCTCTCTGAACCCTCTCCAAGTGCTCAGAGTGCTGGCAGCGGTTGTGTTTGTGCGTCTGACTTTGGAGTTCGCTTTGTGCCGAACTGTGTTGGGCAGGAATCCGCCCTATCACTATAAATGTGGGTGATTAGGGTCCAGCAGGGGAGAAGAAAAGCTGCCATGGGATGCACCCAGCAGCACAGACAAAAACAGGGAGGTGAGGAGAGGTTCAAGGAGCTGCTACAAGGAGGGAAGGGCCTGCTGAAGTCCACAAGAGGCTGCCTGTCCATTTCTGTGCTCTTTAGAGACCCCTCGGCAGGGATGTTGTCTCCAGAACTGGCTTCTTCCCTGCGTCTGGGAACTGGGCAGCCTTTCCAGAAACCCCTTGGGGACGGGATGTTTCCCCTCTGTGAGATAATGTTAAACATTGTGTACATTTCTGTGCTGTTCAGGCAACGTTACCTTCTTCTTAGAAGTTCACCAGAACAAAGAAATTGTCCGATTGTGCTTAATTACGACCCGAAGATCGGAGATGAGGAGCCTGAATTGTGCCGCGTGGTTCTTCACTGGCAAGGAGGCGGTGAGGGTGCTCTTTTAGGGAGGTGAGAGAGGTTTTTGTTTTCACCCTGGGCAAAAAACAAGGTGCCCTAGCTATCTAGGGCTGGAAACCACAAGAAATACCAAGCGCTTGAGCTGTCTCCCAGCAGCTCTTTGCTGCCTGGAGCTGACCTCTGCATGCTGCTCTCGGTGGAAAGCTCCTCTCCGTGCTTTTACCTCCAGACAGTTCCTGTTCATTAATTGCTTCGAGATACTCAAAAATAGTCCTCCCCGCCTCCCACACCTCATTTCTCCCTTTCAGTGGGGAGCAAGGGATTGACCACGCACCTGCTCCTCGTTTTGCTTCCCAAGGACCAAAAAATCTCCCAGCGCTTTATAAACAGAGACAGGGTGAGCAGTACAACATCAGAGGCTGTTCGTGTTTACCAATTCCTTGTAAAGCTCCACGATCCCTTGCTCGGAGATTTGGGAGGGTGATGAGCTTTGTGTCCAGGTTGTTTTTGTCCAGAATTCGGGATGTAAAAGGATTTGCTTGTAAGCTGTGCATTTCTTCATCCTTCTGGACGAATAAATAAAACAATACCCGGCTGTATTGCCAGAAAACAGCACTGAATAATAAATTGGGAAACTAAAAGGCCTGTATGTAAAGGAGATCTCACAATGCATTATGCAGAAAGCAGGAAGGTGCTGGAGAGGGAAACCACTGGCAGAAGGCAGGCTGGGGAGATGGACGGTTTTGCAGAGGGCAAAGCAGGCAGGTACCTGGAAACACTCAGGGAAAAGATTTCTTTCTTTACGGGGTTTTGCCTGCTGGGGTCCATCAGCTGCTGATGCTTCTTGGGGATTTTCTGGCACTATAACTTCGAAGAGGGGTCTCCTGTGCCATCACGACAGGACGAAACCTGCCTGGAGAGAAGGAAAAAGTACAGGAACGGTGTCAACATGCACGATACTTTCCCCTAATATCCGTCAGCCTCGGATTTTTTCAGTGCAGGTGATTTCCTAGCAGGAGGGAGGACGCTGAGGGGCTGTCCCAGAGCGTGTTTGCCCAGGGCTGCTTCACCCCGTGGGCGGGAGGCGGGTTTGGCTCCACGTGCTAAATGTTTCTTGGCTGGGATAAAAGCTTTATAAAGCAGAGGATGCAGTTTATCCCCCGAATTTACAGCTTACAAGACCTTTTTCTGGTTGCGTGTGGAGCAGCGCTGATCTTCGCCTAGGAGAATTTCTCAGTACCTGCGAGCTCTCGGGGCGGTACAAATCCCCCGTGCTGCTTCCTGAGGCACGTGAAGCATTTCAGAGTGAGCTCTCCATCTGCTGCCTGGAAAGACCTCCTCTCCAACACACACCTAATGGATTTATTCTCCTTGTTCAATCGCAGGAAAATCCTCTAAAGGCTCCCGTTCCCAACATGATTGGAGATTTGGGGGGTAATCCTGTTCTTTAAGGGAATTAGGAGGCAGAAAGTTACCGTTTGCAGGTTTGTTTTGTGTGCCTTTCTTTTCCCTTTCACCAGAAACACTGTTCTTCGTCATCAAAAAAAGAGAAGGGGGAGGAATATGTTGTTCTTCATTTAGCAAAAAGATAAAAAAAAAGGGCTTACACTTCCTGCTTTAACAAAAATAAGTGATTTCTATTTGATTTCATTTTTAGTGCTGGTGACAAAGAAACGTGGCAGTGGAAACCGTCTCTTCAAGGCTGGACAGAGAAAGCAAGGACGGCGCTAGCACGCGCTCCCTGACCTCGCAGATCACCAGGAAGGAGCCTGCATGGCAGAGGTGGGTACAGTGCCTCATCCTCTCAGACAGTTTCCAGGCTCTATTCACAAATATGCTGAAAAGGGGACAATATTTCATTAATTTTAAAGGGAAATGGACAAAAGGAGATGCAGGCAGGGAGAGGTAAGTGCGCTCAGGTGTTTGCAGAGGGACTTTGGTTACTGAATATTCTGGCAGCCCCACCTTAGACCAGCCTGGCTCTTTCCACTAGAAATTCAAAAAGCCTGAGAGCCCCAAATATTCCCATAACATCACTGGCACCCCCTGAGGAGGTGAGGAAAGCTGGGACAACATCCCTGGGTTTGAAGCAGGATGTGACAGCGTGCACCAACAGCGATGCCATCCCGCAGCCCCGTGCCCGGGGAGAAGGAGCTGCAGCGTGCAAACGAGGCGTGCCAAAGAAGTCGGTCAGCTCGGCGTTTTGGGAAGAGGCTGGGGTAATTACCGACTTTCTGATTTCCCAGGAGCCCTCCTCGCCTCTTTTTTGTGTGCGTGTAATTAGGTCTGGCAGGCAGCGACGCTGCGTTGTGTCACCAAGAGTTTCTCGGCGAGGGGCTCGATCGTTTAAAGGACAAAATGGTGCTTGGGGAGGGGGAGGAATGGGTCGGCTGCAGAGCCCAGAAACTAACACATTCCTCCTCTTCCTCCCGAACTTCTTTTGGGGAAGTGTGGAAATCAGCAGCCTTTTTCACTGGGGCTGCTTAAATAAAACGCTGAAGTCTCTCTTGGTAAGACCACAGATTGGGTTTTCATTTTAAGTCCTAATAACGGTGTGTTACGACCTCCAGCTCTATCTACTTGATAGGAATAAAGTCTTAGACACTCTTTTCAGACTCTCCTTCGTTACTAAAGTGCTTTCTTTATCACCAGCACATATTTCATGCTGACAGTCAATACTTTTAACTGATCCCAAGCCACGCATGTTGCATTTCAAATCCCTCCCCAGCCTCCTCTAGTGTCTTCTGTGTGGTCTTCTCTCAGCCAGCAGCAGAGTTCATTTGTCAGCTTCAGGTTTCTGAGCATATGGATTATTTTTTTTTTAATTCACAGCCCACGTTTTTAGGTCAGGAGGATAAAGTTTGTTCTGTGTCAGCTGAAGGAGAGGGACCAGAGGAGCCACTGGAAGGATTAGATGGCAGAACAGCTGCAGAGGATCGTGTGTGGGGTGATGGCCTGGATTTAGCTTTCCAGGGATGCCATTTGCCATTTTAGGGAGTTCCCTTTGCCACTTCATCGCTGTTTGGGGCTCATAAATGGGCAGAGCTGCTAAAAAGGAGCAAGATTTAGATGCAGGCTAAACTGATAACCTTTGGGACTGTGTTTGCTTCCTGGGGGGCTGCAGCTTTCTCTGGTCAGTCAGAAAGCAGCACATACACACCCCTCCTCTGTCTTTTTGGTCACATTTATGTTCCCTTATTTCAGTCGTGTCTCAGAGCCTTGCATGCAATCCACGGCACCCCCTAAGAACAGAACAGCAGAGCTGGTTTTCCCATGTGTGCCTTGAAGTCGAGCTGTTTTTCAGATCCGCTGCCATTCCAGTGAGCATGTGCTTTGGCATTTCCCTCAGGAGAAGTGTGAACAGAGCGGCTCTCATCTCCTGGCCAGCTGTTTGCAGAAAACTGGTAGCACTTCTAGGATCTTCGCAGCCCCTTTGAGACAGCCCTGAAATTGCAGGGACCGAGCGGTGCACACGGATGGTGACAGCACGAGCTTCATTTCCTGGAGAGAGCTTAAAAAAAAATAAATAACACAGGCCTTAAAAACTTCTTCTTGCCTTCAGTCAGCCGGCTGCTTTGTACACTGGTGCCTGCTAAAAATCCTGCTGTTGCAGAGCAGTGGTCCCAGCGGCGCGATGCGAGTGTGCTGTTCCTGCCAGGGCTCCCTGTGCCTGAGTGACAGCCCCGCGCAGCAGAGCTGGGGATTTACATTCATCACCAGCCTCTCGCAGCCCCAGCAAATGGAGGTTGGTGTACAGAGAGCAGCATTAAAATGTTCTGCCAGGAGAGCCGAAGCCTCCCCCATCTGCCTGCACCGACAACGCTGCCAAGATCGGAGAAAGCTGATTTCGTTTTTGTTTTTTTTTCCTGACTTTTCAGCCCTTTTTATCCGCCCGGCTTTCTGAGATTTACACCAGTGGTGTTTGCCAGACAATGCTATGAATTTAAAAGCTGCTTTCGTTTTTAATTGCAGTGCAGCTCCCAACTGGGGGTCGTGTTGGGGGGGCGCAGGGGAAATTCTCCTTCAATCATGCGGCGTTACACTACCAACAGCAGAGAGCCCTGTAACAAAACGGGCCTAGGAATTGTGTGTTTTTAGTCCACTTCTTTCCCTTTAGTTACATTTTTTTCCTGGTTGGAGTCAAATCTTCAGTTTATTCCCCTGACACGCTTGTGTACTGAAGGGAAAATGATCCGTGACTTACCTCTGCTCCTCTAAGGTGAATTTCTGGTTTGCTTTGGCTGGTTTTCAGGGCTCTGTTTTAGCTGCAGGTTGCTTCCTCGCCTTCTTCCTGCTACTTCTCGGTGAGGAGATGAGGGGAGTACGAAATAGATGTAGTGCAAAGTGACTGTCACCATTGTAGGTGACTTTAATTAAAAATTGAAGCGGAAATGAATAAGCTTCTCGTGAGGCTGTGCAAGAGTGCCCAACGCTGTACTCATCAGCCGGGGTATGAAAAATATCCAAGAAATGTGGCTAACTCGGATGCTACTGATAAAAAGGAGGGAGAGTTTCTATAAAATCATCTGGCCTAGAGTCAGTGCTGAATTGGCCCCATCCTTGTGTTTTATGCAAACTTTAGGTAGCCATTCTCCTAATTCAGTGCCACAGCAGTTTTCCAAGCGAAAAGGGCATATTTAAGCAAGCTGATGCCACTTGTGTGGCATAGTATCATGCAGATCCTAACTCCAGCATCTTGGCTTTGATGGACAGCATAGACTGGCTCCCTTTTTCCAGTTTTGACCCGAAGTTCTATCTCAGATGCAGCGAGCCTGCAGAGGTGGCTGTAACCGCTGTGAGTACGTTCCCTTTAAACTTTCTGCGGCGATGAATCGAAATTTTCCAGCAGGAAATGAAAGCAAAACACTTCGTCTAAAAATTCCTCATCAGCTCTAGTCACTCGAGCAGAACAATAGTGATTACGCTCAGTTATGCAGGACAAATTCCCAGTGCTGCCGTGTCCCCGGATCCCAACGTGCCATTAGGAGGCGGGCAGGCAGAGCAGGTGGACGTCGATATCCCCCTTTTGGACGTGAGGGGACGGGGACTCGCAGATGCCAAGCAGCTTCCCCAAAGTTTCACGGCAAGAAAGTGGCAGAAAAAGGAAACCAGGTCTAAGGGCTGGGATTTTCGGGGCTGGCCACCGAAACGTGCAGCCCTAATGAAAAGGAGGGTGCTCAGTGAGAGCCACGTGTCCACACCTCATGGATCCCATCACCTTCTCAGGTTTGCTGCTGTTAACCCTGGGGATGTTAAACACGTAACAAAGGTCGCTCTTCGGAAAGAGAGGAGAGTTGCTTTTAAAAATGAGCGTGGTCTTAGGTCGCTACGGGGTCGTTTTGTTGGCACTGTCTGAATTTCTGCCTGTTCTCTTGCAGGAATGGCCGAGCATCAGCCGTGCAGCAGCGATGAGAGCGCCTGACGTTCCTACGAGTCCCTCCTGGCTCGGCCTCCGCGATGGCTGGTGCCTCTGCATATTCATCGCATGGTAATGCAGGATGTCGAGAGCAGCGGCGGAGTTTGGCTTGAGCCCCTTGTGTTCTTCCCCCGCTGGCTGAGACTTCCCAATCGCCATGACAACGCCGTGACACTTCCAGCAACTCGCCCGCAGACCGAGGGTGGGCTGGGGTGGGCGAGGAGGCCGGCGAGCAAGGCGACCGGGACCGAAACGACTGCGGGAGAGCTGTGGTGGCGACACGATGAAATTCCCATTCTATTGGCCCCTCGTTAAGCAGGCAGAGTAACCTTTTTTTTTTTGCAGAGACTTGCTGTAAAAGCCCTTTTGGTTATGGCTACTGATCCGACGTGACTGGGCAGGCGGTGACTTTGGAACTCATGACTGGATATACGATGTTGCGGAATGGGGGAGCGGGGAACGGAGGCCAGCCGTGGTTGTTGAGGTGGTCCAGTCGGATCCGGCTCACCTGGCTTAGCTTCACCCTCTTCATCATCCTCGTCTTCTTTCCCCTCATCGCCCACTACTACCTAACCACCATCGACGACGCGGACGATGCCGGCAAGCGCATCTTCGGCCCTCGGACCGGCAACGAGCTGTGCGAGGTGAAGCACGTGCAAGACCTGTGCCGCATCCGCGAGTCGGTCAGCGAGGAGCTGCTCCAGCTGGAGGCCAAGAGGCAGGAGCTCAACAGCGAGATCGCCAAGCTCAACTTGAAGATCGAGGCCTGCAAAAAGAGCATCGAGAACGCCAAGCAGGACCTGCTGCAGCTGAAGAATGTCATCAGCCAGACGGAGCATTCCTACAAAGAGCTGATGGCTCAGAACCAGCCGAAGCTCTCCTTGCCAATCCGGCTGCTGCCAGACAAAGACGACGTGACCTTCCCCCTGCCAAAATCCAACCGGAATTGCAGGCTGCACAATTGCTTTGACTACTCACGATGCCCGCTGACATCTGGCTTTCCAGTCTACGTCTACAACAGTGACGATTACCCTTTCGGTAGCTCCTTAGACCCTTTAATTAAGCAAGCCTTTGAGGCGACTGTCAGAACTAATGTTTATGTTACTGAAAATGCAAATATTGCTTGTGTGTATATAATTTTAGTGGGGGAAATGCAAGAGCCCGTAATGCCAAAACCTACTGAACTAGAGCAACAGTTGCACTCTTTGCCGTATTGGAGGACTGACGGACACAACCATCTCATCATCAATTTATCGAGGAAATCGGAAACTCAGAACTTTCTTTACAACATCAGCACGGGGCGTGCCATGATCGCCCAGTCCACCTTTTACGACGTGCAGTACCGACCAGGCTTCGACATCGTGGTATCACCCCTGGTCCACGCTATGTCTGAACCCAACTTCCTAGAAATCCCTCCCCAGGTGCCGGTCAAGCGTAAATACCTGTTTAGTTTCCAGGGGGAGAAGATTGAGTCTCTGCGATCCAGCTTGCAAGAGGTTCGCTCTTTCGAAGAGGAGATTGAAGGCAACGCCCCAGCTGACTACGACGATCGCATCATTACCACCCTGAAGGCCGTTCAGGACAGCAAGTTGGACTTTGTTTTGGTGGAGTTCACGTGCAAGAACCAGCCTAAGGCGAGTCTGCCCACTGAGTGGGCTCTGTGTGGAGAAAGGGACGACAGACTAGAGCTACTGAAGCTATCTACTTTTGCACTGATAATCACCCCGGGGGACACCCGCTTGGTGATCTCCGCTGGGTGTGCCATGAGACTGTTCGAGGCGCTGGAGGTTGGAGCCATCCCGGTGGTTCTCGGAGAGCAAGTTCAGCTCCCCTATAACGATGTGATCCGGTGGAACGAGGCAGCCTTAATCATACCAAAGCCACGTATCACAGAAGTGCACTTCCTTCTGAGAAGCATTTCTGACAACGATCTGCTCGCCATGAGGAGGCAGGGCCGCTTCTTGTGGGAGACCTACTTCTCCACCTCCGACAACGTTTTCAGCACAGTCTTAGCCATCATAAGGACTCGAATCCAAATCCCGGCTGCTCCTATCCGAGAAGAAACTGCGGTGGAGATCCCCCACCGCTCGGGCAAAGCTGCTGGCACAGACCCCAACATGGCAGACAACGGCGACCTGGACTTGGGGCCTGTGGAAACCGAACCACCCTATGCATCTCCCAAATATCTCCGCAATTTCACCCTCACCGCAATGGACATCTACAGGAATTGGAATTCCGCTCCAGGGCCTTTCCACCTCTTCCCCTACACCCCCTTTGACCCTGTTTTACCATCGGAAGCCAAGTTTTTAGGGTCCGGGACTGGATTTCGACCGATAGGTGGAGGAGCGGGTGGCTCTGGGAAGGAGTTCCAGGCTGCTTTGGGTGGCAACGTGCCCCGGGAGCAGTTCACGGTCGTGATGCTAACGTACGAGCGGGAGGAAGTGTTGATGAACTCCCTAGAAAGGCTCAATGGTCTCCCGTACTTAAATAAAGTGGTGGTAGTGTGGAACTCTCCCAAGCTTCCCTCCGAGGATCTCTTGTGGCCAGACATCGGCGTCCCGATCATGGTAAGAAAGACTGTAGACCCCGTGGTCTCGCTTCCTGGTGGGTTTTGTATATTAAAGTTGGCTGTAGCCTGTTCTGAAGAGCGTTGGCTTGGCTTAGTCATCCGGGCCAGCATTCATCTCGCATCCTTGCGGATGTCTGTACCTGATCTGGTTTCTTTATCGTGGAGAAAAACAAGGAGATGAAAGGTAATGACTCAGCTGACCCATTTTAGGTGCACGCGTGAGGACTCCGTGGCTTGTCTTGTAGAAAGGCTCGTTTCTCTCCGGGACTTCAGAGGTGGGCGAGATGAATTGGGATCGTGAGAGCCAGCCTGCAGCCTTCAGCTCACGGGATGCAGGAGCTGATACACAGAATGGTCTGAATTGTACACGTGCAGGGTCTTTGCAGTGCCAGGTATTTGGCAGTCTTGAAACAATAATTGCAGTGCGTGGAGCCCGCTATGAGTCTCAGGGCTTAAGGGTAAGAGATTCCTGTTTATTGAGAATCTTTGCTCGGGCACTTCGAGTATCACACCTGTGAGGACAGGTGGCACCTTATAAATATCTAAATAGTGGCTGCTGCTGCACCTTACCTGATAAATCTTTTACAAAAACAAGAGAGGGACGCACTGCAGCTGTGCCTGTGCGCTAGATAAGGGCCTCCGAAGGCATTTATCATGTTGTATTACAAGGGAGGAGAGGAGAGAAAATGGGGGAAAGCATAAGCCAAGACCTATGTAACCGTGAGAGATTCTGTCTTAGTGAGTTTGGGTCAGATTTGGGCTGATTTCTTCCCAGCCAAACTGAAGAACTGACACCTTGAAAGACCAGCGTGCCTTCTGGTGCCTGGCTACTCCCTTGCCTATCGGCAGCGTTGCTTTTAACGAGCTAATTCTCCCTTAATTAATATTTATTTCTTTGTTTTAGGACTTTCTCTGTAGTCTCCGCATGACTTTCTGCACCGGGCATTGTTAGTGATCAATATTAAATATAAATCTCCAGCTGCACTCGGAAAGAGAGCAGAAGCATAAAGGCAGCGCCGCGTTGTTTGAATCCGGTCATGTTTAGAGGACAAATGGAAGGATAATGCGTTACAAATTAGGGAAAGGAGAAATAAAAGAGGGAGATGGTATTTAAGTACGCAAACTGCATGTGCTTTATGTGACAGGACGCCGCCAAGCTTAATAGCAATGTGAGCTTTATGCTTCATGCAAGGGGATTCATTGATTTAATATTTCGCTTTATTATTATTGTGATGAATAAATCCTTCTGCTCACATTTAAAAACCCTTCTGGTCCAGGGACAATGAGGAGAGAAAATTGCTCGGATAATTGCGAAATAATCTCTCACATTAGGCCCGTTGAATGCTTGAATTCTGTGAAAGTCTTCGCATTGTGTCTGCTTCGAAACCGTGCACTCCTCCAGAGCTGGAGATTTGGGGCTGCTTCTCTTTGGAGTCGCTAATGGGTGTTATTTGTGCAAGGAAAATATGTTTCTGTTGATGGACGTCAATGCCTTTTTTCCTCTGCTCTCTTTTGTATGTCTATTGTGTTGGGGTCCCACTTGTTTTTTGGGGACTTTGACATGCACAAGCCTTATACACGCACAGCTTTTCTATGTGCCATGCTTTAGAAGAGCCTCAGGCTCTCAGGATCCCCTACACGAGCCCTAACCCTTTGCAGCCTCCAGGCATCCATCCCGACAATGTGCTTGTCCACCTCCAGACCTGCTGGTTACATCGTGCTGGGGTCCTGTAAGTATTCCTCAATACTCTGCCCCCTGTTTTGGCACGACAACGGTACGAAAACTTCCCTGGGCTTCCTCAAACGGTGACACGTCCTAAAAGCCACCGCTGCAGGGACCTGGGGAGCAGAGCAGAGACGCGGGGTGCTGCAGGCAGTGGGGAGAAACACAGCCCCTTCAGCTGCTGCTGGAAGCAGCTCCAAAGCTGTGGGATTCATCTCCTTGCAGGGAAGAAGTATCTTTTGATGGGGAATATCCAATTCTCTCAGATCTTCAAGCGCTGCTGTATCCTTGTGTAGCAGATGAGCTCCGTAACGTCCCCGCAGCCGGCCGGCGTGCAGGCTGCTCGATGTGGCCCAAAGTCCCACCGAGGCGCTGCTGGAGCTGGTAAAAAAACTAATTTTGTGCTTCAGTAGATAAACCAGCCAGGTTCCTGAGCTGCACAGGAGTCTGTGATAACATATTCTGGTCCTGTGCTGAGCTAGGTGCAGATACAATGCGCTGTAAGGCTGTGTGTAGTCACTCAAGGTTTCCCTCAGAGCAGATGTAGATGGATTGCCCTCGAGTTTGAAGTGCCTTTGTGCCGTGCAGACTGTTCCCATCTCACATTCAGGAGATAAAAAACAAGGATCCAAACGAGTATTCTTGTTTGTGCAAGCCTGAAAGCTTCCTTCCCCCGAGTGTTTGCATCTGTAGCACTTCACCGGGTGAACCTGGCACGCCGAAGAGCCTGGAGAGCATCACCGTGGCCGTGCCATCAGCGACATCTCGGCCGTCCCTTACCTCCTGAGCTGGCTTTTGAACCTCGGCAATCGGGTGTCCCTCGAGGTGGCTGTGACATCTGCCAAAGCTGAAATATCCTCAAGGAGTTAAAGCCTGCCCGGGCCACCCAGTGCCTGCTTTTGGTGCCAGCAGGTGGGCTCCGTGAGGGCAGGGTGGGAGCTCTCCTGCGTGCGCCTCGCTAGGGAGTGCTCCTGCCGTTTCTGTGCTTCTGGGGGGTAAAAAGGAGAAGGGATTGGGGTTAAATCTCTGCTCTGAGCAGGCGGAAAGACTGCACCAGGCTTTGAGTGATAAGGGGTAGCTGGCTGCAGCTCCCACATCAACCTTGGAAGGATTTCCAGCAGCGGAATGAAGACTGAGTCAGTAAGGAGACCTGGCTTGGTCCTGGGACAGAGACTTCCAGCTTCCCCGCTCTGCTTCTCCACGCTCAGGATTTCTAAATAACATCCAGGTGACGACAGGAGAACCTCGCTCTTCGCTTTGCAGTTCCCTGGCAGCTTTTTCACCCATGCGAATAAAAGCAAAGGGAAACAAACGAGGCAAAACACCGAGGAAACCACGCGGGCAGCCCACGCAAATGGTAATGAGATGCACCCAAGAACGATTCAGATCCCGCTGCTCTTTTCTCTGCGCTCAGGAGCCGGTGTGCTGCTGGTTTCTGCTGGCTTCAGGGCTCTTCCCTGTGCTCCTCATCCCAATTTTGGCGTAGCAGTGTGCCCAGCCCGATGCTGAATGACCGAGGTGTGTGGTTTCAGCAGCTCCAAAGCTGGCTGAATGCCTTCATGTGGCTCTGAGCAGGGCACGGATTGGGGAAAGGGAACCAGGAGTCATTTCTCTTCTTTCTACTCTGGTTTTAATCCTGAAAACAAAGTGTTTGGACAGCCAGACCCACTTAAGATGTATTTCAGAAGGCTGCCGGCGCTGCGTAGAGAAAGCACAAAGCCCTGACCTGCGAGCTGATTAAACTCCGGAGCAGCTTGCACTCAAAACAGCCGCAGATCCTCTAATGCAGCAATTAAATTATCCATTTCCCTTGCAGAAACTTACTTAAAGCCCCCCAGGACTGCAGCCTGAGCCAGGAAAGCCTACATGTGTGTGCTTCCCAAAGGCCATGGGTCCAAGCAACCCCTGAAAAGGGTTCGTGGAAGACAGAAAGCTCTGTGGGGACAAACACTTGTTGGTAGGAGTGTTTTTTGGATCAGGATCATCCGGTTGTGTTGTTTTGAGCCCGTGTAGCAGCTCTCCGCCTGCCCCAGGAATGCCTGCCTGGTTTTTGGATCAGTTTGGGGACCCCCAGGGTTTTTCAGAGGGTGCTGGCATCGTGCCTGGAGCACAGCCTCCAATATTATAGGATGCACAGCCCCGTGGATGCATAGGCTACATCATACCCATCCCAAAACGGTATTTTCATAACCTGTGCTCGTGTCCTCAGAATTAATAACCCAAACTTCTGATTTTCTTTCTCTTCCGTGGCGCACGGCTCCTTCGGCGACGAGCCGCGGCTGGAAAAGCCCTGCAGGGCTTTGCTTTCTCCTCTTCCTCCGGGGTTGTGTGTGCTTGGAGGCATTTACGAGCAATTTGCCTGGGTTCACTGCCAACGCCAGCTCCCGTGGCTTTCGGCAGTGACTAATCCTTTCCCTCCGCTTTGTTACGGGGTAAGTCGCTAGCTTTGATCTCCGCAGCCGGTTCCAGTGGCGTCGTGTCCTTTTCTGCTGGCTTGGTGGCCGGCTGAGGAAGCTCATTCAGTTGAGCTGCTTGCCTGAAAAGGAATCATCTTTGGAAAATTTCAAATCCAGCAGCACCGCCGCTGAAGTCTGCAGACCTGCCCCTTGAAATGGCACTGGGTAAGCGGGAGAAGCCTTGGGGGAGATGCTGTCAGGACTTTCCCTTCTGTTTGAGCAGCGTCTGTACAGCTGTCCTGTGCTGAGCCTGCTGCTGAAAGACTTGATGCCTTCGATTTGCTGCCAGAAATCCTCGAATTTGCCCTGGGATGTCCACGGCAGGAGCACGGGGAGCTCCCAGGTGCTGTTTTTAGCTCGGAGGATGAGGAGCAGAGCCCTGTACGGGGCGGCTTTGGCGTGCCACGTCCGCAGCATCGGCGTCTGCGCTTGTCCTGCGACTTCGTGCTTGTTTTTTTGGGAAGAGTGGAGGCAACTTTGCAAACTCAGCTGGGGCACCAGCAGCTCGTGGACACCAGTAACTTGATTATACTGGGGTGGTGTGCGTGGTCCTGCGCCAGGACCAGGGGGAGCTCTCATCAGAGGGGAATAAAACCCCGTGGGTTTGACAGGATCCAGCCAGCACAGCACCTTCAGCAGCAGCATAGCAAAGGTACACGAATTACAAAATCTCTCCATGAGAGCAGTTTTCAGAGGCAGGACAACACCGCCAAATATTCCCGTGCTGCTGCCGGGTTCGTAGCACCACCTGCTGCCTGCGGAGCCCCGCGAGCTGCCTTGCTTCTCCCACCCCTCGGAGCTTGCTGCCTCTCTGCGTAGTTTTTGCAGCAGACTTGCTGCTCGGTTTACCTGTGCTGCTAAAACCCAGATGCTTGCAGTATTAACTCCCACCCCCTTGCAGTCTGCTGCTGCTGTTTAAGCAGCAAATTATTCCATGCTGGGGAAGAAGTTGGGGGCAGAATTGAGTGTGTAGACATTTTCTCTCCTTTTTTTTGCCTTCCGTTTTCACCTTCTCTGCCTTTTCTGGGGCTGTAACGCTTGGATACAAGGGCAGAGAAAGAGATGAGGGGCAAGGGAGAGGTTTTCATCACTCTGCGTGTTCCCTCGTGTCTGATGAAGCTCAGAGATACCTCCCCAAACTCATTGGGATCGATCGGCAGCGACCTTGCAGCTCGCAGGTAGATGATAACTTACTCCCAAGCTGGCGGTGGCACAGCAGCCACAAAATTGTTCATCTCCTGGATGCTTTTACCCCTTTTCCCACAAGGAATCTCTCCCTTCTGTCTGATGGATGATGCTTCCTCACTTCTCTAGAAATCAAATCCTGGATTCCCCTCCTCCAGAGCTGATAAATACGGGACAAAGACCATAAACAGCACACGGGGGCATGCTGGAAATGAGCTGGAGAGAAACTGAGGCACAGAGAACAGAAAATGATGCCTGCCCACTGAAGCATGAAGTTGTACGTCTCCCTGTAAGCTCACAGAAAAGCTGTTTTTGCCTATTCCCAGATTTATTAGCAGTGGAAAGATGGGAAATCTGGTGAAGCCGTTCTCGGGCCTCCCAGGTAACATTTTTCAGATCAAAACAGTTCAGCAAACGTCTTCAGGTGTCTGGACGCTTATCTGAATTGCAGTCTGAATTTTTTTTGAGGTGTAGGAAAAGTAAATGGGTTTTTGCGCTCGGCGCTGAATTTTTAAAGCATCCTGGGCCGGGAGGTGACGTTTGCAGCTTCAGTGTGAACTGCTTGGAGTCCAGGCTGGTGGAAACAGGTGGAAAGATTTTTTTAAAAGGAATTGGTTTTAATTATGCCTAATCAATGTGAACTTTGTAATTGCTAGCACGTGGCAGTCCTTAATTCCCAGCCCATGCTGCGGGAGGTGCTCTTGGTAGTCCTCGCTCATCCCAACCATCTATTTCGGAGCCTCTCGCTGAAAGCATTTGTTCCCCCTTGATTTTATTTAATGTTTTAATTGAATAGCAGGAGAAGCTTAAACAGATCACCCCGAATTAAGAGTCTGAGAGCAAGAGGAGCTCTGAAGAACAGGACATTGCCCTGGCTCTGCCTGGAAGCCCTGGGACGTGGAGCAGGTGAACCTGTGAGCAAAGGGAAGATCTTCCCAACCTGCCTTTCCCCTTTATTTGACCACATTCAGGGCAATATCCCGCCTGCTCTCTGATATCCAAGCTGATGGAAATTGCTTTTCTGCATAAGCCGTGCTCATCCTGGAGAAAAATGAGAGATAAGACGCTGATTGCAGAACCGTGGCATGGATTTGCTGGGTCTTTTCTTCTAACCTTACAGAAAAGAGCTCTCATCGCTAGGTAATGGGGTTGAGGACAGGCTTGCTGGCACAAAGCTGTCGCCATTTCAGCCAGCCCAGACCCATCAGAAGTTTCCCAGTGAGATTTCAACTCTCTAAATCTCTGATGTCCTTGGAAAACTTCTGGTCTGGAGTGAACCTGGCAGCTGAAAGTGGGTGTGCAGGTCTGAGTGCTCTTCATGCTCGCTGCTCCTGGCACCACAACCATTTCTTCTCTGCCCCCTTCTCCTCAAAAAATAACCTGCCCACGGAGTTGATGCCATTGTGGTTTTGCTTCCACACTGAATTTCCTTCCAGCTTTTTCACTAAGTGCTCTGCGAGTTGTGAATTGCCTTTCCCCACCTCCTCCCTCCACGAACAGAGAAATAATGTTCGTTTTGATGCCTCCTGCCCCCAAATGTGAGCGTCTGCACCAGAGCATCTAGGATGGGCCACAGCAGCTGAACACCCTCGAGCATCATTAGACGCAACGTGCTCAAGCTGCCGAGCCACGCCGAATTTAACCAGTTTTAAAATAAGTGCACCTGCTTTGCCGGGCGTTTCGTTTCACTTTTCGTCATAGAAATCCTGCTTGACAGATGCCTCGTAGAAAGCGAGGGAACCTGCAGAAGAAGTAATTGTGCAGCACCGCACTGACGGAAGGCTCTGTTAATTAAAGCAGCCAGGCTATCAGCCGGAGAGCAGTGTGTGGAAAGATGAGCTCTGCCTCGGTGAATGGGAAAAAAGGTATTTCCAGTCATCCCCTGGGACGGCATCCCTTGGGTTGCCGGCACTTTCCTCTTCCCCTGGAGATGTTCTCACTCTCCAATGTGTGTTTCTCTGGTTTTCAAGTGGACGTTTGTGTGTTTTCTTCCCTTTATTGCTGGCGACCTGCTATGGCACAGCAGCTGATGGCTTGGCAAGGAGAGGCTACCTCAAGGGTGCTCCTAAACTGCCGGGCTAATTTGTTACACGCTCTCCGTCTTGTAGATGAGATGTGACAGCCTCTCTCAGATCCCTCCCCCAGCTCTCAGTCCATTTGCTGCCAGACTTCTCGGCGCAGTCCCAGGGACCAGCAACGTGTCTTTTCCAATGAATTTAGAAGCACGTGAGTTCGCCAGCAGGGTTTTCTCCAGAGAGAAGGGCTGAGAGAGATCTGGACTTCGATACTTTAAAAGTTTTGGGCTTTTGCTTGCTTGCTTTAGTAAGGACAAGACTTTATAGTGTGTGCCTCTCCCTTTAGCTCCAGTATGGCTCCTCCAACGAAGACTGAGGTTGGTACTGAGGTTGTACCTGGCCCTGAACATCTCCCGACACATCTGTGCTGAGTGCTCCATCCACGTAGTGCAGCTGGGAAGGCGAGGCAGGAACACTGAATATTTTTCCCCAAATCAGGTCAGGCTTTCCCAGTGAGCTGGCAGATCCAAACTGCTAACTCCTAGGGGTCAAACTGGGCTTAAAACTGGCGCAGAGGGATTGTTCAGCTCCCAGGCTCGCTGGCAGGGTGCACATCATCTCCTAAGCTGCTATTATCTAAGCAGCCTGGGTCTCCCTGCAGAAAACTGGATACAGGGCACACGTGGCCTCCTTCAAGGTGTTCCTGCAGGAGCTGCGGGCAGCAGGAGAGGCACAAACCCTCAGAGCAGCAGTCAGCACCTGGTAAGAAGCTGATTTTGCAATCCATTTAAACAGCACCACTTTCAAATTGCAGCAGACACCTGGCAGAGAGCTGGTACAGCAGATAGATATTTATTTGTTTGTCTTTCTGTCTTACCAAAGACAACTGGTTGCGTTTGTGTGCCCCTAATTTGCTAAATAAGGGTGCAGATGCTCCTGCTGCCGTCCCCGGTCTGTCTCCCCAGCATGTTCTGTGATCTCCTAAGCAGAATAAATTCACCTGAATTTCCTGCCTTGAATACCAAGAGGGGATTTGCCAGGTGGAAGCAGGTTTGTGACGTCTGCCTGGCTTAGAAGAGCACTGATAAAGAAACACTTCACTTCCATGCCTTTGGATAGTGCCCATTTAATTGCAAAAAAAATAATAGCCAGGGGAGAATACCGATGAGGAATGTAAAACCCCAGCCGCAAGTGACAGCATGTTGTCCTGAGGATGTTCTTCAAAGCCAAATAATTGTAAATAAATCTAGGTGGACAACCAAAGCACATCTTTAATTGCGCAGCCACTAACAGGGACATGCAGGGAAAATAAAAATAAGTGAGGATCTGGATCTCTTTAATGTTAAAATAAGTACGCCTCTCCCTTAGCTTCCTCCGAACCAAGTGACAGCTGCACCCCTATGAAAATGAATAAATAATGGGTTTTATTTGTATCGCAAGCTGTTTTCTCAGCTCGGAGATGAGCAGCCCACGGACACCACTCGCGTGGTTTAAAGAGAGCCCAAGCGTTGGCACAGATGATGTCCATGGACACCGTATCAGTGTTAAAAAGGGATTTCTACTAGTACCTTCCTGTGGGGTTTTGTTCTCACGGGGGGATAATTTACGTCTGGTTTAATGTTGGATTATTTGATTATGCCTGTTTTAAAAATGCATCTGTTTTGCCAATTTACGTGCACTGCATGCAGCCTTTGGGTAGCTTTGCAGCTAAATTCCCCTCCAGTGAAACTCTCTCATTCCTCTGGAGATGATTTTTAAAATAGTCCCTGAGATCTTTTCATCCAAAGCTTGAAAACACCTCCGAATTGGAGGCAGCAAAGCCTGGAGCCTGGGAGTTGGGCTTGGCAGGAGGAGATGGTTCTGTGTGGGCAGGACGGAGCCCAGGGGCTCTTGGTGTTGTGCTTTCAGGAGGATTTCAGTGCTGCAGGAGATGTGTGGTGGTGGCTGTGGAGATGCTGGTGGCTTCATCGGCTTCTTCACGGAAGGCTTGGCAGCTCGTCCAGCAGACAGGACACATCTGTGAGGTCTTGGGACCGGCCTCTGCCCTTTGACATGTTACATGGGGGAAGATGACCGGGAGCTCGAGAGAAATTGGGATCAAAGTCATCGTTATGAGGGTGAACTTCAGGTGTGTGGTTTCCACACGGAGTCTCTCCTGATTCCAAATTCCAAAATTCCTGCAATAGCCAGGGATATTTGTGGTGCTGCATCCCTCTTCGTTTCTGGCTGGTCAGTGCAAACCTGTCCTGACATCTGTGCTCCTGAAAAAGCTGTGAAGATGGTGCTGCTCCTAGGACAGGCTGGCTGCCTTCCTCCTCTGCATCCCTGGGCACAGCAGTGGAGAAGCAAGAGCCTGATCCAACACCTCCACTGCAGTGGGAGCAGGGGATGGAGCCAGACCAGGTAAAAAATTAAGATTTATCCTGTCCATGTGTACGTGAATCCACACAGGCACGCGACCCGCTTGGGAAAAAAGCCCTTTCTGCCCTGTAAATAACCTGCCAGCTCAGCATTCGTGTGCTGTTGTGTCTGGTAATCTGCAGGTCTTGAGGGCTGAGCTGGGCGTGTTGCTTCATCAGGGGATTATCCGGATTTTGTCTGACCTCTGAGCTGAAAATGAGTGGCCTGATTACGGAACAGTTTCAGGTAAGGGCAAAGGGATTCCCGGTGCCACTTGCTGTTCCTCCTCTGCTGCAATTCTGAGGTTCTGACCTTGCAAATCCCTCTGGCTCAGCCATACGAAGCAGAACGGTGTGTCCTCGGTTGGGATCTTTGCCCCCAAATGCTACCATCGGGATATAGTGCATTTTTTAGAAGGGTTTGTCCATGGGTTCAATCCCTGGGATGGCAGCAAGGCTGAGGCACAGCCCTCGAGCATCCTCCCTGCGCATTCAGTGCCTTCCTTCTCTGGATCTTACTGCGAACTTCAAGAGCTGGTGCCAAGAAGAGGATTGACAGGGCTGTAAATCTGTCGGCCCTAGAGGGCTGTGCTGCCAGGACCACTCTGCTTCTCCCTTCATCCCCGTGTCTTTGGGAACAGTGGAAGTGGATCCTTTTCCCGAGAACTTGTTCTTTGGCTCCCCGAATTACGCAGCTCTCCTAAGGGTGCCCTTTTGGTTTTGTCCTGATGAAGACCTGACATGAGCAATGAGCTTCCCGCTTGCTTGCAGAGCTTGCTCTTTGCCCACAAATCAATCTGCTTCTCTAAGCGGAGCTGTCAGGATTTCTCCAAGGGCACAGACATTCTTCATGTTTTCGCCACCAAATTAGATGTGACGCTTAATTTAAGGCTTAGGCATAAAGCCTCACTAGACATTGCTGGAAGACACCGATTTTACTAAATTTTTGTATTTATGTATAAATATTCTGCATAAATAGGAAATATTGGTGTTGGTTGGGGCATTCTTGCTGGGCAGAGGACAGATTTATGCTTTCTTTTAGCTCTGTCTAACGCTTTTAAGATCTTTTTGGCCAGCATGGCCATGAACAACGCCAGGAGCAAATGGATGTATTAAACAGGTTTGGGCTGAGTTTCGGGGTTTCGTGCTCCTTCAGTCAAAAGAAACTTGTGGAATGAAATCACCTCGATTTGCTGACAGGAGCAGAAGTCTCTAATATGGTGTGTGTTGTGCTGAGAAGCATTTTATGTCTTGTAGTTTTAAGACAAACATCCTAAGTGCGTAAACTGCTGAGGTGATTTGGAGCTGGGAGCCATGGCAGCGACTTTGTACAGCACCACGCTTGGTAATACCACTGGTGGCAAAGGTGTTTAAGCAAAATTGACAAGAAAAGGCCAAAAATAACCAAGGTAAAGACAGCCAGAAGTACAAAATGTGAGGCAGGAGGGGCTGGGGTTTGTGTGAAGGTCCTAACAGTGCTGCTGTGCTCTGTGGTTGGAGCCTCCCCGTTCCCTCCAGGGGAGGGTGGCTTTTTGGTGAATTTGTGTGCCTTTCTTTTAGCTGATGGGATTTTTTGAGCTCCCCAGTGCTAGAATCTCGCTGGGTGAAGGTTACTGGTGAGTAACTGGTGAGCCGGAGCTCAGCATTTCAGCGCGCGCCTCACGCTTGCTGAGGCAACTTTGGTGGGTGCTCACCCAGCTCTTGGCTCACAACCCCTGAAAAATATGATCAAAAGCCATCATTAACGTGAGGGAAGGGCAGGAGAAACGGCCCTGGGTGAGAGATGGAGAGCTTGATCTGGTTGAATAAGAACTGAAAGAGGGTTTGGTTATGGCGCCGCCCGGTCCCGTGTGGAAGAGGCCTGCTGAGGGAGCTGATGGCGGATCCCTCAGAGGAGCGAGTGGTTGGCCTTAGGTTGGACGTCCTGAGGGACACTCAGAGGAAGGATAGATTCCCCCATCTCTTAATGTCTTCAAAAGGGATTCCTTTCTGTCAGAGACACCTGAGGTGGCCACAGGTCAGGCCTGAGAAGGGGCTCCTGTGAGCGGGGCCTAACATCGGCAACATGGCTGAACTCACAGCTCCCAGCCCCACCAGCCATTTGCTGCTGGTTCTTCAGAAAGCATTTGGAGATCAACCAGTGCCAAGAAGTTTGATCTCCCAGTAACGCTGTCGAGCTGTTGTTTCACAGCAGCTTCATGGCACCTCAGGCTGAGAATATTCCAGAGAAGAGCCGGGCTTCAAGGCCCTGCCCTACCACCAGAGGAGGTCCCACAGGGTGACCAGGCCACCTCCTCTCGTCCATAAATCCCAGATTTTGGCAACATACCGTGCCTTGTGTACATATAGGGGTGTGTATGGACACCACAGTGGCTGCCTGCTTTCTCCACATGCATGGCACGGGGAGGTTGAGCTGCTATTTCTGGAGGAGTGCTTGGAGATACCCGTGGCCAAGGACACGGCCCGATAAGGCGCCGCTCAGCTGTATTTTAGGTTTGTGATGAAGTCAGGAAAAATTGCTAAATCTCACTTAATGCCACGGGAGGGAGAGGATTGGACTTCTTTATACTTGGCTGGTGTAATAACCCTTCCTTTTTCACCTAGCCTAATAAGTTCCTGAGTGCATTTGTGCCCGTAATGGCCATTTCACGCCTGACAAATCTGGCGTTTTCTGAGGCCCATTGAAATGGAAAAACCTTCGAAGAGATAGGAATGTTGCAAGTCCCCGATTCGAATACTCCTCCCCTTCCCCCTTGTAACCTGTTTTTACAAGATTAGCCACTTGTATTAAAGGAGAAAACCTTCCCAAAGGTTCACTTGTCTCTTTCTCAAAGGTTTTATTTCCCATCTCATAACGCGATGCCCTTGTTTCCCCAGCTCAGGATGCAGTGTGTGTGTTTGAGACCCAAACCCGGTCCTGCCCGAGGAAAAGGCACTGTGCTGAGCCGTCCCAGGAGGGCAGAGACAGGAGGAAGGTTTGGTCCCTTCTCGAATCGCTGCCTGCACGTCCCCGTTTGCTTTCCTGGTGCAGTCACCCAGGGGCAAGCGCAGGGATTTCCAGATGCCGCTGACTAGATGGCTGATGCCAATTAGCCGCATCCTAAAAGCGCTGTAAATTGGGACAGTTCCTTTGAAAACAAGGCATCAAAGGCAGGAGCTTTAAGTTGCTTCGAACTTTCGCTTGTGCTCACGTGGTGGATGTGCTTATTGAGTCTCGGAGGCATCTGGCTCCTCCGTAGCATCCTTCTCTTTAGGGAAGAGTTTCGTGCCAATGCACCGATCTCTCCACCCTCTGTGCTGCCCTCTTGCAGCTCCGGGGAGTGGAAATAATTTGACATTTTGCAAATGTACAAGCTGAGTCTTTCCCGAGAAGCTGAATTGAGGACCTGCAGCAAGTAGGAGGCTGCTCAATGCAAAGCCGTGGACATTTCTCAGCGTGCTGATGGGGCAGAAAGGGTTTTCTGCTGCTCGGCCCCAATTCTTTCTCTTTTGTCCTCTATCCATGTGTCTTCAGCTGGTCCAGCAGGAGCGGTAGGCAGGACCTTGCCTGGAAAGCATTAAATGCATTTCCGATGGCCTGGGTCCAACTTCTGCTAATCCTCACGAGTCAGACACCCCCGGACTTCAATGAGATCAGCCTCGGGGAGGAAATGCCACGGTACCAGCAGCGGCACAGCGTGCTGCGTGCTCTTAAGCAGGAGGATAAATTATGCATCGGCGCTGCTTTTAATAACTCTGCAGCCTTACCGGAGGGCAAGCCCAGCAACAGGAGGCGAAGCAGGCAGTCAGAAACTGGTCGTGGCCACAAGATTTCAGAAATGGAGCCTCTTTCAGAGGCACCGTGTCACACCCACAAGGACCTGACACCCGTTTTAGGGTGTTGATGAACTGGAAGGAGCCTAGAGCTGCGCCATTCATTCCCCTTCCTGCAATAAATCGTGCTTTTGGTGGCTCTCCAGCAAAATATTTTAATGCCTTCTCGTTGAACGCTCCATTTTTTGCCCCCAGTTGTTCCTGCTGACAGCTGAAGGCGCCAACACGGGCTTCACGCGGGAGTTTAATCGCGCCAGCTGTCACACGGGTCCCCGCCACAAATATTTTCCCCCTGTTAATGGCTTTTTTATGTGACCAAACGTAATCTTGTTTAATAGCATTTTACGGCCGTGACGCCTTCTTCTTTTCACCAGGCTGGACTTTATTTTAAGAGGAGAAACGGCTGGTGGGATGGAGTGGCCCGGGCATCACAGCGTGCCCGTAGGTGTGCCGGGGCAGGTGAGACCTTTTCCATTTGCGCACTGTGACGCTCGTTGTTTGTCCCGTAGGTCGTACGCACGGAGAAGAACAGCCTGAACAACCGCTTCCTGCCGTGGGATGAGATCGAGACGGAGGCCATCCTGTCCATCGATGACGACGCTCACCTTCGCCACGACGAGATCATGTTTGGGTTCCGGTGAGTGGCCTCCAAGGGTGTAGCTTTCAGCCCCACCTGGATGTTTTCTGCATCCCGGTGCTGCTCGTGGCCCCGTGGTTAAAACGAGAGCCTGGCCGGGGTCTAGCACAGCCTTTCCTGGGGCTTTCCAGATCGAGTTGTTGGAGGAGAAATGTGCGCTAATGAAGTGTTTAATGACTGCAGGTGGGCTGATTCCAGGTTGTCCAGGCAACCCTCCTGATTCTCGCACTTCCTAACCTTCACTCTCAGGCTTTTGCAATTCTGATAACCCTCCCGTAATGTTCTTGAGGGTATGTTAAGAAGAAAACTGGAAAACAGATCCAAGAGGCTTCTGTGCTCCATCCTTCACGTTGCCAAGGCCAGGATGGTCACAGCCCTTGCAGGATGGGAGCAAACCCCTCCGAGTAGCATGGCCAAAACCCTTCTCCGGAGGAACCCCGGCTTTTTGCCACGAAAACATCAGGTTTTTGTGAAAGCAGGAGGTGGGAGAAGCGAGGAGGGGCGAGCAGTTCCTGCTCCAGCTTTTCAAAACATTGAGAGAAAGCTCAGCCAGCGAGCGAGGGCTGGGAGGATGGTGCCAGGGCCGCTGCTGGCAGCGTTAATTACTCCCTTTTCATTACCAGCTTATATTGGAGCTTCATTAATTGGACTCGAGGCTGTAACAACAACCCCATCCTTGCTCCTTGCTGTGTTAGGAAGCGTCACGAGCGCCCTTGGAAAGTTGGTGTCTGCAGCAGCCCTGCAGCCATCGCTTCTGAAGCTCTCAGCAGGCAAAGGAGCTGTGGCAGCTCTCCTCCACCTCAGGAAAACAGAAAAAGGCCACTCGCTGCCTCGTTCTGTGCCTGTGGCGAAGGGAAAACCCTCCCGAGTCCACCAGGCTCCCACCTGGGACTTGTTTTTTGCAGTCCGGGCCCTCTGAGCTTGGGTACCGACACGTGAGGTCGGCTCAGATGCTCCCAGGGAAGCTGGCGGCCCCGCACGTGGAGGCTGGGTTGGTTTGCCAGGTTAGACACCGGGCTCTGACGTTTGTCTTAATGATTCCTGACAGCCTCACGGCTCTCCTGGGGGCTCTCACTTGAGGAGAGCGAGCTGCAGCTGGGAGCAGAATATTAACCGAGCCCGCGCTCTCTCACTCCCAGCCCAGAGCCGTGGCTGCCCTGGACTTTTTATAAAAGGAAGTCAAAGCAGAGCTGGTGGTTTCGCATCTTGCTGGCTTTCCCCACCTCTTTCCCTGCCCTTTCACCTGAGCTCACCGTTTTCCGTGCTCTCTGTACCTCAGAAACTAATTTGGGGCCATCGGGCTTTTTTCGTTAGCTTTCCTTTAAACGTACAGAGCAACCTTTAGGAGTTAGAAGATCCCGTATGCATCAGCCAGGAGCACTTCCCTCCCCTGCAAACCATAAACTGGAACATCCCTCTGGAAGAGGCCCAACACGGGAAACCCAACTTGGTGGCACCCAGCGTTGCTCTGCGCTCACAGCCCGTGGCTTTAAACCACATTTGCACATTTTAACGATGTTTAATCTTTTTTTTGTCCAAACTACGATGTATCTTGGCCATTCTTTGAACCAGAAAACCCCAATTATTTATTTTTTATATGCAATTATTCCCCTCAGTTGCAACACCTCCGTGGGAGCAGATCCCTTGGCACCGAGGGCACGATCTCACCTGGCCGCCCCTGGAGGTTTTCAGGCAGAGCTGTGCCGATCTCCAGGCGCCTCATCCGAGCTCTTGGTGTGTTTGCAGGGTCTGGAGAGAGGCGAGGGACCGCATCGTCGGCTTCCCGGGGCGCTACCACGCGTGGGACATCCCCCACCAGTCCTGGCTCTACAACTCCAACTACTCGTGTGAGCTCTCCATGGTGCTCACTGGTGCTGCCTTCTTCCATAAGGTGAGAAGTCGCGGCCGCTCCTCCGTGGCCAGCCTGGAGCTTTCCTCTCCTTCCTAGAGGAACCAGAGCTCGCGTGTTTGTGATTTATTTGGTAAGAATTAGCTCAGATTTGATTGTTGGAAGGGAGCAGGGCGGAAAATGCCTCCTGGACACGCTCTTCTCTCTAGGAGAAGGAAAACAGAGGGCAAACAGATCTTGGGAAGACAACGGGCCCTTTTCCTACACTTTCCTGAGCTGTCCTGTGGAAAGGGGATCCGCCAGCTGCTGGCGACGTGCTGACCGTGCAGCAGCAAAGAGAGCGAGGTCTGAGGGGGCCGAGGCAGTGCGTGCTGCCCGGGATCCCCTCGAGCAACGCTTCCCCTTGTTCCTCTTGCAGTACTACGCCTACCTGTACTCCTACGTGATGCCGCAGGCCATCCGCGACATGGTGGACGAGTACATCAACTGCGAGGACATCGCCATGAACTTCCTCGTCTCCCACCTCACGAGAAAGCCTCCCATAAAGGTAGGGACTTTGTACTGTTATTTTTTTTTACCCCTCCGTCCCCGAGGAGCTGTAGGGCCTCGTTCAAAAGCTCAGCGCAGCCTCCAGAAGCGGCCAAGTCCTCGCCGTGGCACGCGGGATGAATTTGGGGTTTGGCTCGCGGTGCCGCTCAGAGCAGGGGGTTTGCTGGGTCAGCAAAGGCCCCGCGGAGCAGCTGGAAGACAGATTTCCTTCCTCCCATTTTAAACACAGCTGCAGTGACCGGCCCCAGTCCTTCTCTTGCAGGTGACCTCCCGCTGGACTTTCCGCTGCCCCGGCTGCCCCCAGGCGCTCTCCCACGACGATTCCCACTTCCACGAGCGGCACAAGTGCATCAACTTCTTCGTGAAGGTGTACGGGTACATGCCGCTGCTCTACACCCAGTTCCGCGTCGACTCGGTCCTCTTCAAGACCCGCCTGCCCCACGACAAGACGAAATGCTTCAAATTCATCTAAAAGCAGCAGGCAGCGGGCGGCCGCCCCTCGGCTCGCCGAACTTCATCCCGAGGCGGGCGAGGGCACAGGGGTGGCTTCTCAGCAGGGCTCCGAGGGCCAAAAGCCTTCTGCTGTTGACTCCGGCCTCCCTCCCGCGGAGGAAAAGGGACAGGCCTGGGGTTGGGACAGGCACATTTTGCCCCCGTCCTGCTCTCCCCCACAGCGACACGACCAGGCGGCGGGGCGCAGGATCTCCCGGCCCCCGCCAGGACGCTCCCTAGGATCGTACACTGAGGAATGGCACGTTGGCTAGCGGACCCACCCCCGGGCTAGCCAAGGGCACCCATTCTTTTTAATTATAATTATTGTTATTTAAAATGAAAGTGTTTTAGATTTGCCGCGTGAGGCTTTTTTTTTTTTTTTTTTTTTTTTTCTCCCTTTTCCCACCCCTCTCTGGACCTGTCTGCGCTCTCGGGGGGCGCCGTGGCAAGGCCAGGTCGGCGGCGTTTTGACTGCAGAGGTTTCTCCCCACGTCCAGGCAGCTCCGGTGATGCTGTCCCCGTCCTTCCTCCCTCTCTCCTCCTCCCCTCCTGCACACCACGGCCCGGCTCCCATCGCCCTGTGGCTGCTACTGAGGACTTCCAGGTGTCACCCCGCTGATGAGCGCCCTGCTCGCCGTGCCGAGCCTCCCGCAGCTCCACGAGGGCTGAGCAAGGACGAGGTTGGTCCTGGAGGGTCCTGAGCCGGCTCCCAACTCCACACCGGGTCCCACACCGCAGCCACGGGGGCGTTCGGTTGCTGTGCTCTCATTCCTGGTGTCCTTTTTCCACCGCAGGTACCGCCAGACCTCAAAAACAGGGTTTGAGGTTGGGAACGCTCCCCCTGCAGCGCGGCAGGGCTGCGGTGACCCAGCGTCGTGTGTTGGAGCAGGTTGTGGAGAGGCTTCGAGCCTGCTCTGGCCTTTCGGGGGTAGCAGTGGGGTATCGGGGCCCTTTTGGGGCCATCTCTTGGGATCGGCCACCCTCACGGGCAGCACTGAAGCGAGGTGCTGGGTTTGCTGGAGCTCGGGGCGGGCTGGAGTCCCCTCTCTGCCTCAATCCCTGTGGGTCTCGGTGTAACTGCCTTAAAACCTCGTCCTCTTTGGGCTGTGTTCGAAGGGTGACCCCACAAAGGCTTCGTTAACCCCACAAAGGCTCTGGGCACATGGGGAGATGAAACCTCATTGTCCCCAGCTCTCCTGGCCCCGTGTGCGGGCAGCAGGGGGATGTTGTCACCCACCCGTGTCCCAAAGCAGGAGCAGGGCCGCTCCGTTGGCAGCTCCTGCACTCATTCCTCGGGTCTGCACCCTCCTCGTGTAGCCTGCACCACGTTTTGGGGCTCTGTGACCTGCCCAGCCCCGTTTCAGCCAGCTGCTTGTGCCCTCCCTGCCACAGGGGTACGGCTCTGCCCTTTGGGAAGGACGGAGGGGCTCCTGCCTTCAAGCAGACCGCGTGAAGGTTCCCAGTGTCTGTAAGGACACAACCGGGGGCTCAGCGAGGCCCCAAAACCCCTCAGGGAGGGTCTCATCTTCTGCTCCTGCTCGGAGGGCAGAGCTGCACCAGCCTCAGCAGCCCTCGCCGTGGTCCCTGAGGAGCACGAAGCTCCTCTGCTGCCGGCGCTCGCTCCCCCCTCGTTGCAGCCGTGGATTGCACTTTATAGAAATAAGGAGAGACGCCTCCCAGCGCCTCGTTTCCAGGAGGCTGTGGGGAAATGGCACTGTCCTGGTGAGGTGGCGCTGGGAATTGAGGCCGTGGAGGCTTCGTGTTGCCGTTTGGGGCCGGGCACGCTCGCCTCTTGCCCATCTCACCCAGCTCTTGGGTGGTGTTTATTTTGTTTTTTTTGTTTTTTTTTTTGGAAGATCCCTGGTCGATGTGGAGCATCGCGGTTGTGCGGCGCGTGCTGGGTCCTGAGAGGGGTTCCTTCTGGCTGAACCCCCCCCCCAAAAAAAGGGACGGGTTTGGGGCTGAGGATTAAATGGTTGCTGCATAGGGACGGGTGGGTTGGGAGGGATGAGGATAAGGAAAATAATGCCACGTCCCATTCCCCACCCCCAGGGCTGTGGCTGTGGCTTTGGAGCTTTCCCAAATCTGCCTAAAGAGACACAGGAACCCTTCTGGAGTCCAGCCCCGTGATTCACACCACGACTTTCTGCTCCTGAGCCATCCCACGGGGTTCCCTCCACCGGCAAGGATCACAGAGGCATTTCGGGAGCCCAGCCCTGCCACCAGTCCCCATCGCCCTTCGCTCCCCTGGTTTTTGGGGACCCCGGGTAACTCCGAAGCTCAGGGTGGGGCATGTGGTTCATCACCTGCTTGGTGGCGGCACCTTTCCCGAGGCCTTTCCCCTTTTTTCAACAGTTTCTGCTGCTTCATCCGGGCCCGGGGGCGTTCGCTGTAAATAAAATAACATCGCCCGCGGTGCCGCTCCCGTCTCACCGCCCAGCCCTGCCCTCCCCTGCGCCCTGCTCCGTGAGCACCAGGTTTAAAGACAAAAAAAAAAACAAAAAAAAAACAGACCAGACCAGAAACACTCCTTCAACACGAGCACAATATTCATATGTTGAGGTTTTTGTAAAAGGATCCAATAAATGGAGAGTTTAACTTGACGGAGCGCGTCCCCGTGCCTGCTTTGCTGGGGGCTGGGGGCGGGATGGGGCACACCGCAGTGAGCTGAGACCCCGGGGCAGGAGCCTTGGCCATGGCCAGCCCAACAGAACGGAGCTGGAGGATTTCCCACACGATGCTGGATTTCCTTGCTCTTGCTTTCCCTTTCTTTTTTCCCCTTTCCTCCCCAGCAGCTGCCTTCCTCTGCAGTTGCCCATTCACTTCTGTGCTGCCTGCCCCATAGGAATTGTGCTCTTTATGGCCCTCACTGCCTTGGGGTAAAGGCTCATCTCCGTTGGGAGCGTTGTGCTGGGTTTTATTTCCAGGAGAGGTTTCAGGGAACCCCAAATTTCATGTCCCAGAAGGGAGGAGGTGAGCGCTGTGCCCCAGATGCCCACATTCCTGGGATTCCTCCCCAAAACACTGCTGGCTGCAGGGACGGCGCTAACAGTGGGGGTCATGGGAACTGGCTTTTGGGATTGGGGTGTGTGTGAGGTGGGTGCCGCTGCTGTGGCGATGCCATAAATAAATCCCTACAGCCCCGTCGCGTTTCGGAGAGCATCGCTGGGCCTGCGCTAAGCGACGTGCAGGATTTATGCCCCCAGCTCGCTGCCAGCGCCCTGGCTCTTGCTTTAAACCCCATCACAGTGGGACTCGAGCAGTGGTATTACGGTGCCCTACAGCACCTGGGGGCCCTGGGCTTGCCCTAAACCCCTGGGCAGAGCAGGGTTTTACCCCACAGAGCATCCAAATGGCTTCAGAGCGATAAAGAGGGGGCTGGGGAAGGGGACCAGGCAGTCACTGCTGCAGCACAGCACCCGCAGCCGCCGGTGGCTGCATGTGCGGGGTCGCTGGACGGGCTCTGTAATTTGTAGGCTCGGGCTGGTGAATACTGAGAGCAGTCAGAGGGAAACGAGCAGTTATTAGGCAGGCAATTAATGAAAGCCCTGCGCAGCGCCCTGTGTTGTGCCTGCAAGGGAAGGATAATTGTCAGCGAGCGTTTTAAGCCACGAAGTAATTTAATCTAGAAGGGAAAAAACACACACACGCACGCAAAAAATAATCAAACAAACCCACCCCAGAGCAAGCGCCACCCATTTTGTGAGCGCCTTCCTGCAGGCCGGCCCTGCCCCCTGAGGGGCACGTCCTGGAGCAGCGCTGTGGCAGAAACCCAATGTTTTGGCTTTGCTTTTTCCCTTTAAGAACTAAAAAAAAGGACACAAGTGAGGTGTAAACCCAGTTCCTACTGCCTCTGGGACGCTCTCCTTGCAGGCACTTCTCAGCAGGGGCCTGGCTCTCTCACCTTGCTGGGTTTAATCTCTTGGCTGCCAACGTGAGGATGGCAACAAAAAATCAGACAAATTGAGGTGATTTTCACCGTGGTTGGGCTGGGAGCAGGGACCTGGGGCACTGCTTCTGCCCATGAAGCCCCTGTGACTGGGGACAGCCTTGTTCCATCCCAGTTTGTTACTGGGAACCCAGTGACAACAGCGCCAGGGAGGACCAAGAGGGAGGCCGGGGCCTACACTTGAGTTACTGCTGCGATGGAGCCAGTGGTTGCTCAAGGTTTTATCCCCTGAGCTTAGGCTGACCCTAAGGTTTGGCTGAGTTATGCCAACCTCAAGCCTTTCACTCTCCCAGCTTCCATGGCCCGCAACAGCCCGGCCTCACCTGGCTCAGCCCCACGAGCTCAAGGCGAGGACAGGGCCAAGGGGGAGAAAAGATGGGGAATAATTTAAGTTTTCATGCTAATCAAGGCAAAGAGGCTCGAAATACGGCCCTTAGGCAGGATGTGGCCATGGTTTAGTTCCTTTGGGCCACGAGACTTGGTGGTGGGTCCCCAAAGTGGCATGGCCCATGTAGCAGGTCCTGTGGTGGTAATGGGATGGGTAAACGGGGACCTAATGCCGGCCCCAAGGGCATTGACTGCACCTGGGCACGGTGTGGGAGAGCACAAACCTGGGCTGTAATGACTTGGTGCAGCTGCTTTTATTCAGGCTGTAATTAATGGCACAAAATCAGAGCATCCTTCTTTCCTCCAGGAATACCCGGGCTGTAAAACCCAGCAGTGCGGAAGGTTGATTTTAACCTTTTCTCCCCGTTATTCCCCAGCCCACTGACAGAGCCCTGGCTGGCAGGAGGGGAAGCACATTGAGAATTAATCCCTCGCCAGGGGTCGAGGTGCAGCCCCACAGCAGACACCACAGCTTGGGCTTAATTAGTGAGAGCGGCTGGTGAAGCGCAGTGGGGACGTGGGACCCCGTCACCCACATTCATGGGGACTGGGGATGGCCACGGCACAACGAACGTCGCACGGTGGTGGCCAGGAGGCTTCTTTCCTTCTGGCAGAGGCACAGAAACCCCCGCTGGTGCCTGCCCACCAAAGCGTGCGTCTCTGGTTCAAATGTGTCTGGCATCCATCTTATTCCTCCCCCTCCTCTCGCATCTCTCCTGGGCTGCCATGGTTACCTCTGCAGGACTGACCCAGCCAGAAGAAACGCTATTTATTTTCCTTCTTTCTGTGCAGAATGAACAAACACTTATTTTGCCAGTTTAATTAAGACTTTTCACTAAAAAAAAAATCCCCCCTTCCCCCTCGGTGTGTTTATTTTTCCAGCAGGCACAAGCTGTTTGTAAGAAAGACGTGAATCAGTTTTCAGTTGCTGGACTGGAGCTGCGAAAAGTTTTCCTGCCCGAAATGACAAGAGGAAAAAGGTGAAAACTTTTATTTTTTATTTTATTTATTTGTTTATTTTATTTCATGGAGGGGTGACAAGGCCTTTGGAAATCCACTGGCTGCCCGATGATGTGCTAAAAGTATCCGCATGGCTGGTACAGGTAGGGGCCACGGCTTTTCACCCCAACCGAGAGGTTTTTGTGTGACAGCCCAATTGCATCAGTAGTGAACTAAAAACTGTTTTTTTTTTTTTGCATTCCTAATTCTGCCAATAAGCACAGCAGCCCCCTCCCAGGTCCTGAATCACCTCACACTGCTGTGCTTTTCATACGGCTCCTGCTGCAGCAGCTTTCGGCTCCGTCTCGAGGCAGCCTGCAGAGGAGGACGGCACGATTTCTGCTTTGCATAAAGGGAAAGTGAGGCACCAAGCCAGGAACAAGCCAGAACCATCCGTCAGAGGCAGGGCCAGCCAGGAGCCCTCCACTTCTGTCAATTTAGGCAGCACGGAGAGGTTTCCATGAGGGGCTCCGAGCACTGGGGTTTGTTTGGCCCAATTGAGGACCAGCTGCTATGAGGCAGCTACCGTGGCTGACACAGGCTGCCTCACACTTCACATTTAAATATTTCCTGAAGACCTTGAGAAGTAAAAAACCTCTCTGCTGAATCTGACTGTGTGTATAGTGAGGGGTGAGGCCCTGGGGAAGCTTTTCTCCCCTCAAATCCTGTCAGTGAGCGCACGGCCCCGGTGCTGCAGGGCCTCGCTCTTCGCACTGTGGCAGGCCCCGAAGCAACCTCCTCGTGATAAAATGATCGTGACACTGCCTGTGACTTCCACAGCAGCTCCTTCACGTGGATTTACAAACCCTCAGCCGCTTCAGCAAGCAGAAACCACCATCGTCATGTCTGCACACTGGCACACCACCGGGCTGCCCGTGCTTCACAAAGGTGGATGCAACGAGCGTAATGCACAGGCTCGGGCCTGAGGCTCTGGGTTCTTAGGGTGACAACTTAAATCCCCTATAAATACAAATTTGAGCTGGACTGGTTAACAAGGAGAAAGACTCCCAAGGATTCTCAAACTACAAGGCCCACGCTTCCTCCTCCTTCTCCCCGGCCTACTCAGCTCAGCCGAGTTTCTCGCACGGCCTTTGTGTGTGGAGAAAAATCTTCCTCGAGAGTTAATTACAAGGTGAAATATGCCCGATTCTTTTATTCCATTTTCGAGTGATGATAAAGAAGCTGAAGCACCACAAACGTTGTAAACTCTTATTAGGATTAATGCTCCTGCAACTGAGGCTTTTATCACCTTAATGACGCTATTTCTCTCACGCCCATGACACACACACAAAGCAGAGGTATGGATGCTGGAGTCTCTACACCCAACCACCCAGGAATCCCTAATGTGTAGGAAATACGGTGTGGAGACGGCAACAGCAAATAGTTTTTATTACAGACCTCTTCTTCCACTGCCTTAATCTCCCCAAAGCTATAAACTGAAGTTGTTATATCTTACAAACGTGTAGATGCACACACAGGCAGATGTGGAAGAGGCATGCGGATGCTTTTATAAACCACAGAATGTGCTTCCTCCTTGGCATTACTATGCTTTTTTATTTTTAACACCAAATAAATACAAAGCAATTCCATAAAAAAAAAAAAAAAAAGAACAGCAGTAAATCTGAGAAATCAGCTGCTTTTAAAAGCAATACTATTAACTACGTTTACGCCCCGAACACATGATTCTGAGAGTGAAAAACCTCCCTAGGTCTGCGGTACAGATGGCTTTGTCTAAGCGACTATCAGAATTTCAGCCAAAATTTTGGAATGTGGGGGCTGACAGGACAGGTTTTTGGAAGGTAGAAACAAGAGGCACTTAAATCTCCAAGGTTTTGCGTGAGCACTGGGAATTTAACTACTTCTGTACTTTTGAAAGCTTCCCTAGCTATCTTTGGGCCTCAAATTTGTGCTGCTTACCCTTATGTACCTAACAGAAGCATCTGAGACAGGAACGAAGTTGCCTCAGCTCCCCAAACAGCCAAGAGAGAAATAGGGCACAGAGGGAAAGCCAGGCATTTCCTTCGGATCGCAGTCCCCCTGGAGGAACTTCTTCCACCAGTGATGGAGGCACTCAGGAGAAGCCAGTCTTTTTTGTGCCTTAGCAAAGAGCCTAGAGCTCGGTGGACAAATCTGGTCCTAACAGAGGAGGCGAGCATCAGTGAACACCTGCTACAGCATAAAGCTTTCTCCAAATCCCTCTGGTTTTGCAGGGAATGGCTCAGCTCTTGCCGGTTTGGAGCTATTGTATATGTCCAGCATAGTCCCCCTTTTTCATTTATTTTATTTTATTATTATTATTTTTAATCTCTGCCTTCCCAACTTCCCCAGTCCTCTTTGTGCCACGTCCACTGAAAGACACAAGCAGAAAGAGTGTAAAGGGAGGACAAACAGGAAAGTGGATCTGGTGGTTGGGAAGAAACAGGGGGTAGAAAACTAACTCTCTCAATATCTGAGGCCATTGTTTCAAAATTCTTACAGAGTTTTCTCAGATAAAGGACTGGGGCACGCATTGCTGACTGATGGCGTCACATGGAAATGTCTGTGCCTGCACACAACTTCACCCTGACCTTGTAAACAAACACTATTTATTTCCTCTGCAATCCACATCTCCTTTAAGATTCCAACAAAAAATTTTACAGCACAGGAATCCCCCCCCAAAGTATTCCAAAACCGGTTAAAAATTAAATTAAAAAAATATATAGATATTAAAAAATACTCCCTTGCTTTTCCATGAAGGGAAAGGTGGGTTCTGGCCTCTCCGAATTAGGAAATTCTCTCTTTTTGGAGACACCCTCTGAAAAGCTCTATGTCCTTGGGCTAAAATTTCTGCAGGAATTTGAGAACCAGGTCACGCAGCTTCACCCTCAAAGGTTCGTCGTTGTCGCAGATGATGTGCGTGGAGTCCTCCTCGATCTGAATGAGGGTTTCTGCCTCCTGGAGGAGGACGATGTGGCCCTTGGCTGTGTCTTCCACCTTCACGTCGCTGAAACCATGCTAGGCACAGCATTGGGGAGTAAAAAAGAGATGTTACAACAACTCAGGCAAACGGAGATGAAAGCTCGGGGCACAGGGAGGAGGAAAGGGGAAGAATATCTGCAAAACGCAGTGTGGCACTGCAGATATCCTACATCTCTGGGATCTGCAGAGGAAACGCTCACAGGATAAGCTCACTACAACCCTCATTATACAGAAGGATTAACTACAGCACGGGGAGGCTAAAGTCAATATTTTCCACTACGCCGGTTCATGGGCAGTTGCCAACCTCAAACTCTTGAGAGACAAAGAGGACAAACGGCTCCTTTAACTACAGAAACCACATCTGCTGCCATCGCTGCCTCAAAGCAGGTGATAGTGGCGACCTCCTAAATCCCGTGGTAACCTCCCACAGACAATCCTGCCCTTTTTCCTATCCGTTTTCTCCAAGGTATCCAGCAGGAGAGAACAGGGCTCCACAGAGCAGTGCCCAACTGCCTCCACGTTCAGCCACCATCCTGCAGCTCTCCAAAAAGCTTCTTCCACCAGCGGAGGCATTCCCAGGATTTCTTCTTCACTCAGTCACATCACCTTCAAAATACTTTCACTACTTTTGAGATCTCCTCCCCACTGTTCAAATGGATTGGAAACCAGCTGACACATGTCCCTCAGAGTGACCCTAAAAGCTCTGCCTCCGTGAAAAGCCAGGAGGAAACGAGTGAATGAAGCATCAGGACGTGCCTCCACGGGGAAATATTCCCTCTGTGTTCAGTGCAGGGATGCACATTCCAGCATTTCTTTGACAGCCCGCTAGCCTCTCTCCATTTTGAGCCACCCTGAAATGATTTCCCTTCTCTCTGCTAGAAAAGCAGCCAATTTCTGAGACCTGCTGGAACCCACTTGAACCGAGCTTGCCACTGGAGACTTTTTACCTTCTCGAGGGTCTGCACAAACTGGTCCACAGGAATGGAGCCACTCAGCAGCGGCTTCAAAGGCTTACAGTCTGGGACGTCCTCACTCACGCGCTTTCTCTTCTTGCTGGCAGGGGGTTGTGGAGGCTTTGGAGGGAGCTGGTGGATGAGAAGATGTACGGTAATGAGGTGAATCACACTAGATTATCATCATTTATTGTATTTTCTAGGAATCGTGGCTTAAAGGAGTCAATGCCTTGAAAATCACAGTCTAGAAGATGCAACAGGTTGGGAAACACAAATTCAGAGCAAGCAGCAACTTGAGGAAGGAGGAAAGTGGGTAATTTCTCACTGGCCTCGGGAAAAAAATTAGCCTTTAGGACGAACTTGAATACAGACAGGCAGGACAGATGCTGCAGTGCCTGAAAAATCAATGGAGTGTGATGTGGGTATAATTTTGAGCTGCCTCAGAAAGCTCTCTGCCTTAACTCATGCCTGAGAGTCTCCTCTGAGAGCAGGGAGAGCTGGGGTGAGCACGGCCAGCGCGTGGGGTTAACTGCCCCCCTTCTGAAAGATCATTTCATGGAGCTGAAAAGCTGAGTGCTTTCCAAAGCACAGGGAGGAAATCACTGTGTCAAATAGGTTCCCGTGTCCTGTGCCAAGTTAATTACGCCGGGGAAGAGTCAGCACTGGGTTTTCCCAGTGAACCAGCAACCCAGTTCTTGGGAAAAAGGCGCTGGAGAAAACTTCCCCCCCAAATTTTGGCAAGGCCATCTGCTAGGGATGTGCCTGCACAACACACGCAGGGAATCCGCCCGAAGCAGCTTTGTGCAGTGCTCTGTGAGCTCCAGGTGACAGCCTGGGCTCCTCGCAGCTCCGTGCCTCTCCCAGCGCTCAGCATCGTGTCTGAACCTGCTGCTGTGCTGTCCCTGGGTTTCCTTCGGCAGAAAAAGAAGGCTGTTTTTCATCGTGGGAGAGAAATGCTACCTGCTCGGGCTCCGGTTCCACCAACAGGCTCGCACTGAGTCACCCTACAAAAACAACCATTCTCCCTGGAGTTGATGAGTCTGGGTGCACGTAGGATGCTGCTTGGGCATGAATCACTCACGTGGCTCTGTGCTCAGAGATTGGGTTTTTTAAACCTTGCCTGCACGTTTTCTGTACCTTTGAGAGTTTCCAGGCTCAGCCCATGCTGACAGATACCCCCGTGCTGGTTCACCTGAATCAGTCTGAGGGCTCCAGCAGACTGTGCCTAGATCTAGGTTTAATTGGCATCAGGAATCAGAGCAGAGAAAGGAGCAAACGAGCACCACAGGAAGGAGAAAGCAGACTCAGCCCACTCACATTTTAATACTTGGGTTTGTTTAGCATTGCCTGGTGTGCACCTAGGGAACTGACCTGGAAAAAGCAAGGCAGCTGGGCTGCTGTGCGCTGATATAAACCTTTAACCAACCTTTATGTCCCTCAGTAATGACACTTCCCAGGTGTCACGGGACCTACTGAGCTCCTGCACTTCCACGCATCGAAGGAGAAAGGTGCTGGGGCATCTGCTGCTCAGCAGCTCCACCAGACATCACCTCCCTCTGCAGAGCATTAATGCCAGGAACTGCAGTGCCAGCCTAAAGCAGGTAGTAGGAAGAGAGGAATTTTCTCATCTAACATCATCAAGGATGCACAATCTGCTTCCTGGGGAACAGGGTGACTTCAGGAAGGCAGTCCCTTCACGGGTCTAATAATTTGGGTCATCCTTCCCCTCTGACCCTCCACTCCAAGTCCCTGGTGCTGCTCCTGCCGTACAGGTTGTGGAAGGCAGCAGCCTGATTTGTGGCCTCTCTTGGCGCATAATCTCCCTTCCCCTTTTATCTTAGCCAGGCACACGGCCAACGATAAAGAGTGGGGAGATTTATAGGCATCCCACTCTCACTCCAAGTGCAATTCCTGCCTTGCATGTGCCAGGACGAGGCAACCGACAAGGACGCTGCTCTGGTGGGGAAGGAGTTGTCAGAGGGGTTGCCTCGTGAGAACAGCTGGGGTCCCAGATGGCAGGAAAGCCCGTGCAAGGATATTCTTCTCCCTTCCCCATTATACTGTACCTGCAGCACATGCTTGTTGTCTTTAGTATGCAGCACGGCAGAAACTGTTGCCAAGGAAATACCAGGCTTAATCTCCGAGGGCACGAGCGAATCTGCAAGCTGAAGGAGAAGAAGGATTGTGTTCAGCACGCGATAATCTCAGAGTTTGTATGAAGCCAGCTGGGATTTAAATTGGCAGCGTGGTATTTTTAAACATGGACTAATGATCTGTAAACACAAGGCCGCTGGTACGACGACAGAGCGCTCCTCTTACCTGCTCAGCCCTCCTGGCTCTCACGGCTCCTGACTTTTCTGGGATCAGAGCACAGAGAGGTTGCAAGTCACCCAAAACAAGACAATTAAAGAGAAATCTCATCTAAAAAGACATTATCTGCTTTATTAATAACTGAGATTAGTAAAATTCGATCTAACTGAGCATAATTTGCTGTTTGTTACCTCCACGTACAAGGAAAATCAAAGCCAGTTTCAGGTCCTTAGAGCATTCAGACTGCAGAACAGTTGGGGGAAGAGCTTGTCCTCAAAAACCCACTGGCTCCCTTGACTGGTGTGACATTTTTTCTGACAACACTGCACCGAAACCCTGCCACTTCTACACAATTCTCCTCTGAAATGAAATTTAGGCTTGGCTCC